TATAATATTGGTCTCCAACTAGTAACAGGTTAGCCAAACTCTTTATATATCATGTTTAAAACTGAATTATTCATACCCCTTGTAAATTTAATAGGCCCCATTATCAAGAAACCTAAATCAGGACAAATTATTTTTTAAATACTTGATAAATTACGAAACCTGAAAAGGGTATGAATAATTTAGTTTTTAACGATAGATGGCTCAGCTTATTTGACTTGAATAGCGCCATCTGGTGGTCTTCTATTACACGTACATGAACCTTCATTGGCCTGTATGTGAGTAAAGTTGAGTTCAGGGGGGTGTTTCACAAAGATCCTAAGTTGAACTTATCTCTAAGTTGGACTTAAAAGTTATGGACAGCCATTGGAGCCTTAAAATGAAATATATTCAAAAGCAGAAATTCAAATATTTTAGACTTTTTATAAATTCCACATCAGGAACATGAAATCACCTTGGTGATAGAAAATATGAATGATTTGAATCAACATTTTATGCCTTTTAAAATAATTTTTACAAAACATTTTCAAAGATGCTAATGGCTTTCCATAATTGTTAAGTCCAACTTAGTGTTAAGTTTTACTTAGGATCTTTGTGAAACACCCCCTGGTCATGTGATTGTACATTGTGAAAGAAACTATTAAAGGGAATGCCAGTCAGTGTCCATGTGCAGTATGTCATAATACACAGATACCAGACTTGATGGAAACACAATTAATGGGAGTACAAGTCTCGCACACAGTAAACCCATGAAATCCCGTCAAGGAATACCCCAGCATGTCCACACACAAAACAATTTATCCGGAAACTCTATAACGAAACGTCGTATAAAGAATCATTGTGTAAATTTCAGAGTGTCCACACACAAGAAACGTCGTATAAATAATCATCGTATAAATTCCAGGATGTCCACACACAGAAAAAAGTAATCCTGAAACTCTACAGCGAAATGTCGTATAGGTGCGCAGTTTGCTACTGCGGTCATGAAATGGAAGCGGAAATGAGAGGTCTGGTCTCCTTTTACTCGAGGTCATGTTAAGCCCCGCCCAGTTAGTTACAATAGTTACAATACTTACATCCACACACAACACCTTCAGTGATTAGGCGTGATTCTTTATTGAGTTCTAGTTCGAAACGATGCCCCAACCTGCGTTTCGTTATACGACGTATAGTTAGTGAGCGTCCACACACACAATTTCATCGTAAAACTATCGCGAAACTGTATCACTATCCCGAAACAGTATAGCTAATCACGCCTAATCACGGAAAATGTTGTGTGTGGACAGGGGGTTAGAGATAGAGTCTTCTGGGTGAGGGAATGTAAGATAATGACTTTTCCATATGGAGCAATTGCTGGAAATGCAGAGCAGTACATTAAAGGGATCTGGTAACTTTGTCTTAGATCCTTTAGAAATAATCCTTGATTTAGCTCATGCTGCAATGATAATTATAAACCTTTAGGTCAGTCAGGAACTCCATGATTTTTGCAAGCCGATCGCCTGTCTGATTATCAAGATATAATGATTGGAATTACAAATTTTGAAAACCGTTCGCTGAACGGTTTTCATAACACTACAGTCTATTGGGGAAAACGAGTATGGTAAAACCGGTCACTCAAAGTTTTTACTTTTTTGAGGCACTTCTTGATCATTTTGAAGCGCGATTTTTTTTAAGGCTTCAATATTACATCATATCACAGACATTGGTAACATGTAGGACCGTGTATCTCAGATTTAACATTGTTAAACGATCCCTTTAAGGCCTGTTGGTCATGAAACTAAAGGCTAATCCTGGTGATTGACAACACCTGTGATTGGTTGGGTAAACACCCAAATGGTGTCAAATTCCCCATGAGAGCCCACTACCCTGCGTCTTTTAGAAGCAATTTCAAAAAATTGATGAAATAGTTTCTAAAATACTAAGGGGTTAGGGGTGATCAAAATGAAAATAAACTGTCCAAATCTTGCTACGATTCACCAGGACTGCAAACAGAAGTAGGACCCCCCCCCCCCCCAAAAAAAAAAAAAAAAGGCATCAAAGTTTTGTGCATCCATGTTTCAAATCTGACGGCATTTGAAGAGATGTAATTTTCAAGATTCAGGAGATTATAATATATGATATTCTCCCAAACTAACACAAAAATAATAAGAGAGTCCATAAATTATTTTCCCATCCTTTGAACTTCACCATCTCTTGCATATCACATTGCTGATCCTTTTGGAGTCGTATATACAGTTCACAACTTAGTTGTTCATACCCCTTGCAAATTTGATGATTTTTTTTGTTTCCGTAACTCAAGAATAAAATACAGACCTTTGTTGAACACTTGCAGATGTAAGCTTTATATGTCGCATTCCTAAGAAAAGTAAGACAATTTCATTTTCGACATACTTATAATGTTACAAAACTTGGTAAGGGTATGAATAATTTAGTTGTTAACTACATATACATATACATGACATCACTTCCTTTAACTCAAATGTACAATATGATTTGTGATATATGCAAGGACCCCCATGCCATTTACGGTTTCACTGAAGATTATATTTTACTGATCTCCCTGGATGTCTAGTTTGATACCTAATATTTTATTTTTATGTTCATCTCTTATTGTTTTGTACATATTCTATGATTGTCATGATAATTTTCTTTGTATACATTTGGTATACATTTACCGACTGAGCCAACTCGCCTCTTCTTGTAAACACTTTTAAACATTAAACTTCAAAGTAATTCAATCCAATCCCAATCGATTGACAGATTGGATTGCTGTATAAACAATTATGAAGTGCATGTTTTTACAAAGCCACAACACACAATGCCAATGTTGTGCTGCTTTTGTGTTGAAAACACATTTGATTGAATGAGCTTGTAAGTTAATCTGCAAATGTCATCAGTTGGCTGTATATCCTGTTAATGTATTTTTTATTAGATATTAATGACTATTCATGTGACTGAAACCAATGACACTATACCAGTGAAATAAAACTACTCTCGTTAACGAACGTTTTAAAGAGAATTAATGTTGAGTTCTGGTACAGATGAAAAATGATATGTAATTGTATGATTGGTATATACCGTTACGTTAGTTTTGAAGAACATTGCAGAACTGATCCATGAAAATGGTCGCTCTTTTTATGCCCTTATGGTGAAAATATTTCAAGAAAGAGCTGAAAACTTTGGACCAACTTTCATGCCACATGTATGTGTGTGTGTGGTGCAGTCCCATCCATTCCTTTATGTATGTAGTGCACTTGATTTTAAGCAAGATGAATCCATTTTTTCTTATTTTGAAGTATACATAAATATTAGAACGGAGCTGAATATAGCTGTACAATTGATAACAAACAACAATTAATAAGGAGACACCGCAAGCCTTAATTTACAGCTACAAATATAGTGGCATTAGCATTTTGTTCAGTTTGTAATCAAATGACCAGTACTCATCTGAACTTGACATAATTATACATGTAACTCTTGCCCTGCCATGGTAAGAAAAGCTAACCCAAGAATTTTGAGTTTTGACAAATATTTGTGTGTAGTTTTTTTGCCCAAAATAGGGACTTTATTTGTAAAGTTTATTCCTATTAGGGATTTTTATGCCAACTTTCTTTGCCTTTGCTTTCAAGAGAAAATCCCCTCCGTCTTTTGTTTATCTTTTATTTTGTATTTTGTCTCAAAGTATATGTTGTGAATTTTTGTGTAAGGTTATGTACCTGTGAATGTAAAATTTGTGGACCTTTTTGTGTATGACTTAAACCTCTTTTTATGAGTCCAGTGTAAATGTAATTGTTTGTGTTTTTACTTCTTTTTCCTTCAAAGGCCTTAATTGATAGAAAGTATCAGAAAACAAAAGCATCATTTGTTCGCTTCATCCTCATTAATTTCAATATTTTGAGTCTCCCTGTTGCGTTTTTATGTTTGAGTATGAAGTAATGCAATCGGATGTATACCATTATCTGTTGTCCAGTAGTATATTACGTAGGTGGAATCTTTGAACCAATTTTTCTATTCTTAGAGCTTTTTGGGTATTCATCATACATGTATATACGATACGTAAGAGATTTTGTCTTGTTTAGTTAAACAGAGCTAAATCGTATGCCAATTAGGCTTCTCTTTTGTGCGCTTTGTCTTTTGCTGTATATTGTTTCAATTAGAACAGATGATTTCCCTTTTTTGCCCCCGTTTCTCTTGTATTCTTTATTTCTTGTTATCACCCCAAGTCTATCAATGTACGTGTAATTATAATACATTGTGAATAAATATAATGTGGCACAGCAACCACATGACCACAATCAATACAATGTACATCATACTAGTAGTTCCAGGAGATACACATATCAGCCGTATAGGCGGCAGTGCATATCATGGAACGCAATGCAGTTCAAAACGACACTCACTTGCGAAATAATCATAGAAACATTCTTGAGAAAATGTTGCAAATGAAAGATGTCTTAATATCTTGTTTATAGACTGGTTTGACTGTATATTGTGTCCCTCTAGGGAGTAATGTGTTTTACCTGTAGAACCTGTCTAGAAAGGCCACCGATCTATAATGGTCACCTATATATGTCCATTGTTATGTTCCTCGCAGAAAGATATATATGAGTTGCACCAGTGGAACCTGACTAGTAGTGCTACCTGTCTATAATGGTTACCTATATGTGTATTGTGTCCTCTCCTAAGTAATATACACTGTACCTGTAGAACCTCTCTAGAAAGGCCACCTGTCTACAGTGGCCACTTTTTCTGTTCCACTTGGATGGCCTGTAGAGATTGCTCTGACTGTGTATTGTGTCCCTCCAGGAATGTGTTGTACCTCTAGAACCTGTGTAGAAAGGCCACCTCTCTACATGCAGCCACTCTCCCCCATGGATGGCCTTAATAAACAGGTTTCACTGTCCATGTACATGTTCATCAGCATCCTCACAAAGCAGGAAACATTGATGTCAAGTTTGTCTTTGTATAATTTTTGTTGTAATATATTTTATTTTGTCTTGTAGGCATTCATCGAACTGAAGGACATCAAAGAATATAAGACCAAAAAGGACATTTTCATGCTTGTAGAATGCAGTAAGTATATCTTGATTCTCCAGGGCTAGTATTCAATTAAGTTCTTATGTCAGTAATATGAGTATTTTACTCAGTTTCGGCTAAAAATAAAATACTTAGCAAACTTTGTTATACATTTGATGCTTTTGGCTATTAAAGTATATTACCCTAAATTTGAAGGGATCGTTTAACAAATATGTTAAATCTGAGATGCACGGCCCAAAATAGGGCTTCAAACTGATCAAGAAGTGCCTCAAAAAAGTAAAAACCTTTGAGTGACCTGTTTTACCATACTCGTTTTCCCCAATAGACTGTAGTGTTATGAAAACCGTTTGGCAAACGCAAAATTTGATCTCTATTTTTAATCATAATTATTTTGATAATCAGACAGGCGATCGGCTTGTAAAAGTCATGGGGTTTCTGACTGACCTTAAGGTTTATAATTATCATTGCAACATGAGCTAAATCAAGGACATTTTTAAAGGATCTAAGACAAAGTTACCGTATCCCTTTAAGGTAGCTCATTAGCATACTTATGTCAACTAATCAGAAGGCTATAAACAGACCGATACTTATTCCTTCAATTTCGAAAAAGGATGAGAACTAGCTTTCAAGTTTGACCAAACACTCATGCCATATGTGTGTAGTCCCATATACCCATGATAAATTTCCAGTCAAGTTAATGGTGTTACATGTATTTAAATGTGCATCTCAATTGCTTTCCTTTCATGAGATGAATAAATGTATGAATATGAGAGAAAGCTTTGCTCTCTTGAGTTGATGTAATCAAAGTGTACATGGTCCGTAAGCACCCTGTCCTTGGTGAATCTGTCTCGTCGTTCCACAGCAGAAGAACGCCGTCTGTCACAGGTTCTCTTGAGCTATGTACGAGGCCTTTAGTAACATTTTCCCTTGTGCTATCTGTCCCTTAGATCCACAGCAGAAGAATGCCATCCGTCACAAGTTCCGCTCAGCCATGGCCCATGATATCGGTTACGCCATGCTCTGCGTCTTCTCCTACCTGGCTGCAGCTAAGAACTCTGAAACGATCAGCCGAAAGGAAATGGAAGCTCGGATGGCAGGACGCAAACGAGAATTCATGTCTAGTTAAAGAGGACAAACTAAATCCATCCTTAAAATCAAGCACATCAATTGGTCTGTCTAGTACTGAGGATATTCCCTTTGTTGTCTGGTCTGCATTACGGCCGAAGATTAAGGCGATCTGTTGCCCAACAGCCTGTTGGTAACCCCTCAGTCTGCCTGCAAGCAAGGAAACACTCGGGCTGAAGATACACGATGCATGGACTACTACTAAATACAGAGTAATAACCCTGGGTGTTCAGCCAATGTGTATAGCAGGCTCATATCTTTTATGTGAAAGGTCAATCTGGACAAGGTCTACAATTTGGTCCGATCTGGAAGAGGTCTACAATATGGTCCGAATCTGGAAGAGGTCTACAATATACACTGTAGTCCGAATTTGGAAGAGGTCTACAATATGGTCCGAATCTGGAAAAGGTCTACAATATGGTCTGAATCTGGAAGAGGTCTACAATATGGTCCGAATCTGGAAAAGGTTTACAATATGGTCTGAATCTGGAAGAGGTCTACAATCTGGTCTAAATCTGGAAGAGGTCTACAATATGGTCTGAATCTGGAAAAGGTCTACAATATGGTCTGAATCTTGAAGAGGTCTACAATTTAGTCCAAAATGTGGAAGAGGTCTACAATATGGTCCAAATCCGGAAGAGGTCTGAAATATTGGTCCCAGGCGTAAATATTCTAGCTTGATGGACATACAAGGGAAGTATGTAAATACTGTAAAAACCTCTGAACAGAACAAGAATATAAGCTTGCCAGAATTCTAGTAAACCCATGTACGGTACTTGTAGTTGCCAATTTACAAGCACCCTTGCCAGAATTCTAGTAAACCCATGTACGGTACTTGTAGTTGCCAATTAACAAGCACCCTTGCCAGAATTCTAGTAAACCCATGTACGGTACTTGTAGTTGCCAATTTACAAACACCCTTGCCAGAATTCTAGTAAACCCATGTACAGTACTTGTAGTTGCCAATTAACAAGCACCAGCAGAAGGTCTTCTTGCTCATTTTCCTTGATACTTCAGTCACACCGCCAAAGTTTTGAGCCAATTTCGCCCGGGCACCAAGCGGCGGCTGCCCGGGCACTGCTTTTTTTGCCGGGCAAAGGCCGCCCTCACTGACCTAATCGAGCATTTGCCGTCGTGCGATTTAGGTAAAACGTTAAAGCCGCTAGGTCAAAGGCTGCCGAGTAGTCGGCGCCCGCTTCCTGGTCGTCTCTGAGAGATCAGTCGGTCACTGGGCGGCGAGTCCAAAATCGGTCGGCAGCCTTTGACCTTGCGGCTTCAATTTTTGACCTATATTGCTCGACGGCAAACGCTCCATTAGGTCGGTGCCCGGGCAGCAAAAGCCCGGGCACCGACTGTATTCGGTGCCCCGTCGATCACCGGCTGGGCCTCTACAGCCTGCTTGACTTCTCAAAAAATCATTCGGCGATGCCTAAATTCCAGCGGCGACCGAGCAGGCTACTATTCGGTCGGTCGACGCTCTGACTTGTGACCATAGCTTTAGGTGGTTTGTAGTTATGCTGATCGAATATGGTTCAATTCAGCAAATAAGAATAGTAGTTCTGCCGTTATTCATGTTATGCATATTTCTAATCAATACTTCTATAATTGGATATTCTAATACTTGACACAAGATGCTTTTTACACTGATCCATGGTGATATCTGTAGGGTCCATCCGCCCCTGGTGTTTTTGCAAATACTAAAAATAAATTGTGTAGGGGTAGCCTCTTCATACTATTATTCTCCCCTAGAAATTTCGATGCCGAAAACTTTAAAAAATCTAATCCAATATATGTCTGGAATCAGCCACCATTGAGCCATTATTCTATTTATGTATGTATTGATGTAATTATGTTATTTCTTCATTTAATTTATGTTTTCTAATTTCAAGAAACATAATGTCCAACAAGAGTCAACAATGGAATACACAAATAATGAACATCAAGAGAACAGAAATAAAATAGGAGGGCTGTCCTCATTATCATTCAAAAATTGCCCCATTTAAAGTTGAGTATGTAATTTATATTTGCTTGCCTAAACCCTTTCGTGACTAGAATGTTTTGAAGGCTCAAGTGATCACATTTTCTTCTTCAAATTGGCAATAATAGTATTTTTCCCTTTACTGCTACATTCCTCTAATAAAATGTTGGTCTTAAATGTCTCTAAATATAAAAAACAAATGGATTGTGAAATTTGCCAAAAGATTGCAGATTGCTGATTTTGACTAAAAACCCCGGCCCCGTAACACAAAAGTCGCAATCAATCACCATTGAATAATGGCCAATCAAGATCATTGTTGCATGCGCATGCTGTTCAGAATACTGCCCATTAACCAATCGGAATGATTGTTTCAAATTTACAATTGATTGCAAACCTTTATGTAACAGGGTCCTGTGACCTTGGACCTGTCAGCACGTTGCCAATTTCCATAAGGCTCACATTCCAGCTCATCATAGCTTAGTTGGGGAATGTGGCTTCCCAATTTTGCATGATTGTTTAGTGTTGATTCAGGGAATAGGTTAGAAGGTCCACCTTGGACCACTCCAGTAGAGCAACAGCCCTCGAGACCGACAGCCCCTAGAGACCCACACCTCTCAAGATTTACATTGTCTTTCTGATAATTGATGAACCCTCAAAAAGGGTGTTAAAAAGCCCACAAGACCGCCATGCTGGTCTGGCTGTCGGTCTTTGGGGCCTTCTGGCATTTTATCAGAAGGCTTACAATATCAACAAAGTCTTATTGGCTGTCAGTCTCTTGGCTGGTCGGTTTCATGGACTGTTTGGTCTCGTGGGCCATTGGGTCGATGGGTTGTTAGTTTGGTGGACTGCTGGTCTCATGGACTGTTGGGTCTCGTGAGCTGTAGCAGCCTAGTTTCATTACATTTCATTCTTATGTATTCAAAAGAAAGTGCAATAAAAAAGCATTCATTTAGACTTCGGTACTGTTTTATTTATGACCAAAGGGCATAAACATTGCTGCGGATAAGCTATCCATGTATTATTTTTACAACACATGGGACAAGTACTAAACATAAATTAACATTCCTTGATCAATCTTGTTGGTCTTGTATTCCAACTATTTATTCCAACGACATCTATTTATTCCTGGAGTACTTCGAGTGTTATATACACTATTTATCTTTAAAAAATTGTATAATAGGTGCTTTTTGTATTCCTGTCAAATATAGCTCCTTTGAAATAAAGTGGTCCAGAATTTCCTTCAAAATTCATTTTGACAAAGGTAAAGGGTTATGCGATTGGCTATTTAAAATCTAGTATACTCATAGGCTTAATACAGGAGCTGCCTTGTTCTTGTAGGCAACAAGTTAAATGCTAGATTTTGTAGAGCGCCAATATCTAGCTGCTTTGTCAAAGTACCTGATGAGCTTGAAAAACTGCTGCATATGCTGTTCATGATTAACCTGGGAAAGATGGGGGTAGTGGCCAGTGGTATGCAATGTGTGTGTGTGGAATACCAGTAAGCCGGGGTAATAATATGATTGCAGGACTCTCAGAGAACAGTATTAATACTGATGAGGTTACTCTGGGTAAACAAGACACACTGTGATTGTTATTAGGATGTAATTATTATCATTATCATTATTATTCATATTATTATTCATATTATCATCATGAATTATTATTGTTTATGTAGATGTAAGTATAAGCTGAGATATACGTGTACTTTACTCTGTTAACTTTAATATAAATACACGTAGCTTGTACAGACTTTAGACAAATGTGTACAAAAAAGAGAGTGGTTGACTGGTGGTCATATCTTTTTATATGGTCTTCTACAAAGTGTGCTAGCAATATATCAAAGAAGTGATCTCTACATGTCTTTGTTTCTTTGTAGTGCATACATGTACACCCATGCTCCAAGTGATGCATAGGGCTCAGTAGTATAGTATATGAATGTAGTAGTGTATAATGGGAAATTATTAGTATAGTCTGAATATATAACTAGTGTGTAAATTATGGTTTAGTCCAAGTATTCTAATAATATTTTATTTCTTATATTTCGTCATGGAAAGACAGTGTTCATGTGAACCATATTATGGTAAATAGTACTGGCCAGAAAAGATTTCCTTTCCATGAGATAGAAGTTGTATTGTATGCTATTTTTGTACTACCTTTTGGGAAGAAATATATGTAGGATTTTGTTAAACTCATAGCAATTGTTATGTTATATTTCAGTAAAGGTTTATCTTTGTCTTTTGGAAAACTCAAGTCCATTTCTGTTGCAGAACATTGTGCTGTTTTGTGAGCGATTTTAATCGATATTAATCATTGAAGTCTCTAAATCGGCAAAGCGGAGTGAAAGTCATTATCACTGTTTTTCGTGTACAAATTGGCAATATCTTGATGAAGTAATTTCATTCACACTGTTCTATCTAATACACAATTATTATCATTATTCTTTTTTTAATTTGAAAGTGTGGAAGACACAACTAATTGTTGCCAATTTGAGTAGAAACGGCTAAGGATCTTTACAAAATCAAACTGCTACAATTCTGTAATGCTGATATACTGAAAAGTTAATGAAATGAAGAATGTATATATGTACAACAATGTTCAGGTCATTGATATGCAGTATACTTTCAGTGGCAATTATGTTTTGTTTTATTTTGTACGCGTTGATCCATTGCAATGCATGAATGCCCGATTTGCGTTTTCTATCATTTATTTATATTATATAGGATCCATTTTGCTGGAACAGTTGTACTTGCTTTGGATCAGGAAGTAATTTCATGTATGTGTATATTTCATTGTGTGGGAGGGGATATAAAGTATATATATATCATACAGTGGCAATAGATTGTTGTGATACTAATTGTAGCTATTAATTATGTTTACATGTACAGTACATGTATGTCATATTCATCATGACCGTTTAGATGACCAAGTATTCTCTTTCATGAATGATGATTTGTTCAGCAGAATTGTAGTAAAAAAAAAATAAGGCTTTTGATTTGGTTCAAGTTCTTGTTATTCATGTGATCCTTAGAAATTGACCAGAGTGGTGTCATAATTAAGGACCCATTGGACTCTTCTGATTTCATTATGCACATGTAGGAGCTTGTACCGGGTATGGACATTTATGCAAATCTTGTCCTTTTTCAGTCCTATGTAGCCCTACATCCTTAATTTAGATACATGCAACTATTTAAGACATATTACCATGAAGACATGTCGATAGTAAAATTTACTATTAACCTTTGTGAAAATAGCGTCTGTGATGTAGAATTATAGATGCATGCTTAGCAAGATGCTTTTGAGGATCAAATCTTTGATTTAACCGAAAGAATGAATTCTCCCGTCCACAATGTTTTGTTGTTCTTATAATGCATGCTGAGGTATGTCCGATTTGTATAAGTCGATTTAAGCCCTATTTGGAAGCAGCAATGACGTATTGTAGCTCCAGAATGATAAAACTCTTGCCCATATAGCTCTTTAAAGCGATACTGAACTAATGAACTTTCTGCCCTAGCGTACTATTGCAACGCGCCATCTCATAGTCAACTTTCCAACAGTGCATATAACCCAATACATAATGCCCCCCCCCCTTCGCCTGACTCGCTGTGAGAACCAACAGCAAACCAGCAAGTAGAGGGACCATACTGCCACAGCTGACCTGAGATGGCCGGCCCTAGAGGGGGACGATTAATAGTACTTCTAGTACAGTAGGGCTTTAAGTGGCATAACATTAGTTGGTAGTTATACAATGTATAAACTTGCAGAGAAGGAAGGATTAGGAAACAGGAATCTGATTCCTGCTAAAACTTGTGAGTGAACAATAAAGCAGTGTATGCTATGTGGAGTTTTGGAGCAATTATGTCTTAAAACAGTATAAGATTTTATTTATGTCATGATGAACTATTGGTGTAATAAAGAACATAGACTATCTCATAATGATATTTCATGGTCTACACAATGACTGATTATTTCTTCATCTGTGGAGTTTATGTATTGGTGGTGGAGGTGATATGATATTGTCGACTGTACTGTAGGGAGATTCACAACTTCCTTAAAGAGACTAATTGGTAACATTGTTTAGATGAGAGAAAACGGTGCTCAGGTAGTGACTTCATTGTAAGATGTACAATTAAAGATAATCTGAAATTTTGAGTGAAAACTTTAAGAAAAACTGATCTGATCGATTCCATAGTTCTCCCAACTATATTATTACAATTTAATTACATTTTAGGTGAATGTAAATCGTCACGAAGCAATGCATTGACTCTATATACCATTCCAGATATTTAAGTGTTGAAAGATGTCTTAAAGCCTGTTTTATGTCTTTTTTACATGGAAAAACGGTTAGGAAAATTCAAAAGTGGTTAGGAGAATTGGTGTCGCACAGTGATGCCTTTAAAGAGAAGGTTCATTGATTTAAAAAACTAACTTTAATGTCGTTATTGCAAAGGTGACACTTTGATTGGCCAAGGTTATCAAAAGCCAATGCTTGGAAACATTTGAAGTAATGATTATTAACAATTACAAAACGCTTAGATACAGCCCTGACATAGCACCTGAAAAGCTCTCCGGTCGCTGCTGAGATATGACGTCACATGTTGAACATGATGTGCACAAGCAGACGATGTCCCATGACATCTCACACAATTTTAGTGCCTGTTTTGTCATATTTTCTTCACTAATTTCTCTTACTTCAATGCCCTCTTACTTCAATGCCCTCAGGCGAAATTTTTAAACTATTGCCTCACTCTAAACCCTGTGCATGGTATTATTTTGATGAAAAATGCAAGGATTAACAAAAAAAGGAATCCGTCGCTTGTAAACAAAATAAGACGCCATTGTATTTTCAGCTGCACACACCGCAGCATGTTCGGCGTTTCAAGAGGGAACAAATGACGTCCATGCTATCATTCCGGAGGTTTTTTAATTTGAAAGTGTGGTTTCTTTGATTGTTCATTAACTCCTATCCTGTGTATTTACAAACAAAAGAATTTAGTTATCAGAATGGGGGTCATATCCCTTTTTGAATGGTGTAAGATTCCATCACATTTATTTAGACTAAACTCATTATAATTTGAGAAATAAAAGCATTGCAATTATGTTCATTCTTTATGGGATGTCGTCTGCTTGGGCAGGGTTGGTTCATATTGTGACGGCATTAAAACATCGTTATTTTCTGGCGAATCTCTCGCATATCCCAGATGCTATGGAGGTTGTTTGATTTGTATTTTTATAAATCACCCGATATGTAGTTAACCTAAAACTTGCATGATAGCCATCTGTTAGCATACCAGTTTCTAGTAATACGATATTTGCCATATTTGTGATTTTCTATGAACCCGCACTTTAAAGAAAACCATAAATATCTTTGTGGTTTGAGAATTGTTCAGGATTTGTTTGCATGTTAGAGGGTTAGAGGGTTATAGGAATATAATAAGTAACATGTCATCCAAAATTTATGCTGTTTTTTCATCAACCTTCAACAATGTTACCGAGTCACTTTAAGGACATCGTTTAACAATGTTAAATCTGAGATGCATGGCCATACGTTTTATCAGTGACATGGTGTAATATTGAAGCCCTAAAAAAATTGCGCTTCAAAATGATCATGGAGTGCCTCAAAAAGTTAAAATCTTTGAGTGACCGGTTTTTACCATACTCATTTTCCCCAATTGATTGTAGTGTTATAAAAACCGTTAGGAAAACGCAAAATGAAATTTCGATTTCCAATCATAAATATCTTGATAATCAGACCGGCGATCGGCTTGTAAAAGTCATGGGATACCTGAATGACCTAAAGGTTTATGATTATGATTGCAGCATGAGCTAAATCAAGGTGGGGGGGGGGGGGGGGGGTACAGAGCACAATTTTTTTTTTTTTTTGTTTTTTGCTCCCGAAAATTTGAAAATCGCGCCGGCCAATATTCTACCTTCAGACAACTGAACTTGTACTCTAAAAGAAAGCAGGAATATGAGAAATGCAGACTGAGAAAATATTGAATGAAGTCGGACAACAACGAAAAAAGTGATACATTTTTAAAAGTTGAAATCGCAATACGTATAGGCTTTTCAAAATTGGACAAAACGGTAATATCAGTGTGATGTACGTAGTCAGTGGCGTACGCAGGATTTTTTCAAGAGGGGGGGGGGGTTTAACATTTTGAAATCGAGCCGATAATTTCGCAACGACTCAGCCAGCCGCTGAATAAGCGGGGGGGGGGGGGGGGGGGGGTAAGAGGACACTTTTTTTGTTTTTTTGTTTTTTGCTCCCGAAAATTTGAAAATCGCGCCGGCCAAAAATTCGCTCAGTGGGGGGGTAGAGGGGGGGGGGGGGGGGGGGGGGGTAGTGAGCACATTTTTTGTTTTGTTTTTATCCTCCAAAAAAAATTCAATTTGCACCCCCCCCCCCCCTTGAGCGCCAGGGGGGGGGGGCAACCCCCACAAAAGGTAAAAAATCACGTGATTTTACATGATTTTTTTTTTCTCAAGGCCCCCCCCCCCTGGATCCGCCACTGAAGGATGGTTTAGTTATAACGATACATGCTGTAATTATGAACAGAAGTGATACAAAGGATGTATGTCAGAAGTCAGCATACACTGGTAGTAACAAACAGTTAGAATTGTGTTTACTTTATATGCAGTACAAGTTAAGGTGTGAGATCAGGAAAAGAGCTAAAACAAAGGTTAAAACAAGGGGTTAATTAGCTGTATGGTGCATATTAATGATAAGAGTCACCAGGTTTTCTCTTAGCATATGTATATTCATGAACAGTTGATTTATGATCCGTTCAATCTATTTTCATTTGTGCAGTTTTTACGGAGCATTTGAAGCAACGAGAGAATTGGAACAATAAAGAAACGACCAATAACAAAGTCAAAGATGCTTCCGCTACAAATGATAATAATATTAATAACAACAATAATAATAATAATGATATTTCTTGCAAGACCAAGACGAAAAAAACGAATCCCTCTAATGCAGTATAAGCATTTTTATTCAAATAGCTTTAACAAAATCTTACGAAAAACATATTTATTTACAATGGATTGGCAAACATGCATATACAACTAATTGGCAAGAAAACAAATGTAGGTCGACACCTCACACCTTAAATGACTTGAAAGTCGCACAAGAATCGAGCCTCGCTCAGATACGAAGCCGTTAACCGCGGCGGTTTTAAAATAAATTTAAATCTTTATATTTTCTCTAATATGACGTTGAGTGGTATTAGAGAAAGTGGACTAACTTGAGTCAATGAATTAAAACTAGTTTAAACTATGGACTAACATTTTCGGTATTCTCGAAAGTAACCTAAAGTTAATCCTGGTCTAAGTAATCCACCGACTAAGTTAGGTCAGGTTTCATTAAGTCCGCTTTCGAGAATACCACCCGTAACGTTTAATACGCTTCGCATCTCTGTATCTTATAACTCCGAGGTCTGTGAACTCGCGCAGGACCTTTTTTCGCGCGCAGTTGCCATTTATAAACTCCAACTTAACCGCGGCGCCTTTTTTGGTGGCGGTTAACCGCGTGATATCTGAACGAACCTTTTAAGTGGTCATAAGTGTACCATAAAGTCAATATCATTAATATCATTACATAAACGTATTCTACTCTACATAATGCTGCAATGTTGAACATGAACAAAACGTTTGTAGGAATATTCTACCTTCAGACAACTGAACTTGTACTCTAAAAGAAAGCAGGAATATGAGAAATGCAGACTGAGAAAATATTGAATGAAGTCGGACAACAACGAAAAAAGTGATACATTTTTAAAAGTTGAAATCGCAATACGTATAGGCTTTTCAAAATTGGACAAAACGGTAATATCAGTGTGATGTACGTAGTCAGTGGCGTACGCAGGATTTTTTCAAGAGGGGGGGTTTAACATTTTGAAATCGAGCCGATAATTTCGCAACGACTCAGCCAGCCGCTGAATAAGCGGGGGGGGGGGGGGGGGGGGGGGGGGGGGGGGGTAAGAGGACACTTTTTTTTGTTTTTTTGTTTTTTGCTCCCGAAAATTTGAAAATCGCGCCGGCCAAAAATTCGCTCAGTGGGGGGGTAGAGGGGGGGGGGGGGGGGGGGGGGGGGGGGGTAGTGAGCACATTTTTTGTTTTGTTTTTATCCTCCAAAAAAAAATTCAATTTGCACCCCCCCCCTTGAGCGCCAGGGGGGGGGGGGGGGGGCAACCCCCACAAAAGGTAAAAAATCACGTGATTTTACATGATTTTTTTTTCTCAAGGCCCCCCCCCCCCCTGGATCCGCCACTGAAGGATGGTTTAGTTATAACGATACATGCTGTAATTATGAACAGAAGTGATACAAAGGATGTATGTCAGAAGTCAGCATACACTGGTAGTAACAAACAGTTAGAATTGTGTTTACTTTATATGCAGTACAAGTTAAGGTGTGAGATCAGGAAAAGAGCTAAAACAAAGGTTAAAACAAGGGGTTAATTAGCTGTATGGTGCATATTAATGATAAGAGTCACCAGGTTTTCTCTTAGCATATGTATATTCATGAACAGTTGATTTATGATCCGTTCAATCTATTTTCATTTGTGCAGTTTTTACGGAGCATTTGAAGCAACGAGAGAATTGGAACAATAAAGAAACGACCAATAACAAAGTCAAAGATGCTTCCGCTACAAATGATAATAATATTAATAACAACAATAATAATAATAATGATATTTCTTGCAAGACCAAGACGAAAAAAACGAATCCCTCTAATGCAGTATAAGCATTTTTATTCAAATAGCTTTAACAAAATCTTACGAAAAACATATTTATTTACAATGGATTGGCAAACATGCATATACAACTAATTGGCAAGAAAACAAATGTAGGTCGACACCTCACACCTTAAATGACTTGAAAGTCGCACAAGAATCGAGCCTCGCTCAGATACGAAGCCGTTAACCGCGGCGGTTTTAAAATAAATTTAAATCTTTATATTTTCTCTAATATGACGTTGAGTGGTATTAGAGAAAGTGGACTAACTTGAGTCAATGAATTAAAACTAGTTTAAACTATGGACTAACATTTTCGGTATTCTCGAAAGTAACCTAAAGTTAATCCTGGTCTAAGTAATCCACCGACTAAGTTAGGTCAGGTTTCATTAAGTCCGCTTTCGAGAATACCACCCGTAACGTTTAATACGCTTCGCATCTCTGTATCTTATAACTCCGAGGTCTGTGAACTCGCGCAGGACCTTTTTTCGCGCGCAGTTGCCATTTATAAACTCCAACTTAACCGCGGCGCCTTTTTTGGTGGCGGTTAACCGCGTGATATCTGAACGAACCTTTTAAGTGGTCATAAGTGTACCATAAAGTCAATATCATTAATATCATTACATAAACGTATTCTACTCTACATAATGCTGCAATGTTGAACATGAACAAAACGTTTGTAGGAATATTCTACCTTCAGACAACTGAACTTGTACTCTAAAAGAAAGCAGGAATATGAGAAATGCAGACTGAGAAAATATTGAATGAAGTCGGACAACAACGAAAAAAGTGATACATTTTTAAAAGTTGAAATCGCAATACGTATAGGCTTTTCAAAATTGGACAAAACGGTAATATCAGTGTGATGTACGTAGTCAGTGGCGTACGCAGGATTTTTTCAAGAGGGGGGGGGGGGGGGGGGGTTTAACATTTTGAAATCGAGCCGATAATTTCGCAACGACTCAGCCAGCCGCTGAATAAGCGGGGGGGGGGGGGGGGTAAGAGGACATTTTTTTTTTTTTTTGGTCTCGAAATTTGACAATTTGAAGGTCACTTTTTTAGGTCAACCTTTGGCTTTTTTTTTTTTAAATTAAAAAAAAAAAAAAAATACGCCAAAGGGGGGTGGGGGGGGGGGGGGTTTGCTAAAAATGCACATATAAAAAAACCAAAGGGGGGGGGGTTTAACCCCCCCCCCCCCTCTGCGTACGCGCCTGTACGTAGCACCAGACAACTTACTTTCCCATTCTTTTCAAAACACAAAATGCCTAATATGCTTTTTATTCTTCATTATGTTTGATTGAGGTTTGAGGGTCTCTTCAATTTAGAAGATATCCACAATCTATTTTGAGTAAATAATAATAATAATAATAATAATAATGATAATTATATATAATAGGCCTATATAATATTGGATATTTATATATCACAATAATCTACCGTGCATGGTACTCAAAGCGCTCCAAATATTACCCCGGCTCCCGCCCCGGCTCTGCTATATAGGCAGCCGATTTCGGCGCTCATAGCATTCAAGAAATTCCTTCCTACCGGTTACCCATATACCTGGGTGGAGAGAAAAAAAATTACATGTATATTCTTCACTAGAAAAACAGGAGTTGTTCGTGTCTACGTCACAATCTACTGACCAAATTGCCAACGTGGAGATTCGCATAGATTTTAAAGATGTCTTATATAAAAACGATTACAACTCCGGTATTATTGGTCTGATTTATTTGCTACTTTCGCCACATTCTGTTTTTCTCATTTTCCTGCTTCTATACACATGGATTAAGGGTATGTTGCCCTTTAAATGATTGATTTGTTAATACTCAGCCAAATTATTGTCAAAATAATAACACAGATATATTACATTACTGGACATTCAGGGCTCTTGAAGGGGCTAATCAGCGCACAGCGTTTAACGGATGTATTATTACCCCGACCAACCCATACAAGTTCAGTCTTTTCATCACAAGTTGGCTAATGACTACAGAACACTACTATAAACAAATAAGGCCAAATAAAAAAAAAACATGTTTAGCGTCCTACCTTTTTGAAAAATAGGAAGGAGGAGGCCCTTTTGTTTCTTCTTCAAAGTGGCCGCTCAAAATGGCCGCTCGGTACATTTTCCTGACAGTCGGGCTATTTTTCAAGATGGCCGCCGGCATATTAAAAAAAAAAAAAAAATCAGAAATAGAACCATTTTAGCTTTGTTTTTTGCATGTTTTTTTTTCTTTAAAAAAAGAAGAAAAAAAAAAGAGGTGGACCCCAAAAAGAGAGCGGGCGGGGACGCTAAACATGTATGGTTTTTTTAATGGCCTAAACAGTAAATTGTCCATCACCGTTCATGCGGAACCGTTCATGTGGACAGAGGAAATTACAAGCAAGGACTTCGGAATTTGTGAAGCCATTTTAAAACCAAACAAACCAAAAATAATGATACAAAAAAAAAACACACGTTAAAAAATAATTGACGCGGCAATCGACAAAACGTACGCCATCTTCAGGAGTTCGTAAAAACTGGCAGCTAACATCAACATCCGTTCGTCCGTTGGCCTATACACATCTGAGTGAGGACTCTGAGCCAGGACCCTGTTCCACAAAACTTGATATCAATAACAAGTTACAAGCTACTGAAATCAGGGCATTTGATTCGCTGAGAGCAAATTTGTTGTAGAAGTTTAGCATTTGTTATAGAAAACAAGTTTTATGAAACAGGCCCCTGATACATTGACACTGGCGTAAGTAAATACATTTCGGATGTGTCATAGATCAACTGCTTAATTACGACAGCGATTTTTCCATTAAGATTAGGCCTATGTAGAAACATAAGTAATACTGCTCTTAACTTTGAAGAGGTTTGGAATTAGTTTCCTTTAATAAATAATATATATGTGGTGTACAAGGACTACTTCTATGTCCACTTCTTTTCATATTTCACTTAAATAACTCGAGCAAATATTAATTCATATTTTAAACAAAAGGCCAATACATATTTCAGTTAAAAAATCTTGATGGCACAAATGCACACAAAATATACGTGGAAGATAACATACAATAGACTCGAAACATCGAATCCACCAGTACTTGAGAGCCTTTAAAAGGGAAAATCCACCCTGATATTATATTGGTTTATTAAAAACAACTTTATATCAAGGAGGGCTTTACCTTTTACTAAGAGACAGGGGCCTTAAAACAACAAACTTATTATCATTATATTAACTTATTGCAGCCATTAGTGTTATCTTATAATGCAATGTATCTACCTTTAACAAATAATTTATCGTAAATTACAGTTTATTGTGAAGTTACGAATTCTTTATTGAAGGAGATATGTTTCATTGGGAGATATGTTCGATGAGGTATGTCTTCCCAGAACAAATTCCATAGTCTAGATTGAATGCCTTAAATCGCGTCTGCACTAGTTTGGCCAGGGGATTAGACCTCCCTGCAAGGTCACTGACAGGTAGTTATCTCATCAAATCAGCTCTCAATTAGCATAAGCAAAAGGGGATCATGCGGGACGAACGTGCACCGATTAGGTATTGTTTGCTATAAAGAGGGCGCAATTAGCTATAAGTAGGGCAGTGGGACTTTAAGTGCCAAATCCCTGCTTCTAAGGTCCAGCTGGTTACCAAAGAGGAGTGACCTTCCAAGACAAAGTACTGGCATGAGATATTCTCATTTTAAGCCATTATAAGTTATTGAATTGAATTGAATTGATAATGGTTTTTAATGAGAATAAAAGAACAACAATGCATCGCGGCCTACAAGGCCGAATTGGGCAATGTTTTACAAATGTAAAATACAATTTATAAAAACATTCATATTAAATGACATCAAATTAATGAACTGAACTTGAATGAGTAAATCATTAAAAATAATATTTAACTTTAACATTCGTATTTCTTATTATTATTTGATCTCCCTAACTCATTTTTATATATAAAGGAGATAAAGAAAAGTGAAGAAGAACATGATGGTGTAGAGTAAAGAAAGCAAAGAAAAGAGGATGGTAAGATTAAGAAGAGGATAAAGAGGGAGAAGAAGAGAAAAAGTAGAAGAGAAGGAGAATATGAGGATATTGATATCCCATTGCCTCAGATTATTGTTGTTTATGATACATAAAACATGGAACCTGAGATATTTAATCCCTGTAACGATATTAGTGGAAGGAACAAAGCGCGAAATATATGATATATAAAACATGGAACCTGAGATATTTAATCCCTGTAATAAATGCATCCGGATATTTTGGAGGTAAAAAATGGAAAAGATGGAAACAAATGGCAAGTTACAATTTTATCAGGATGCGCGCGCATGCTAGGTTGGGGAAGTCACTCGACAGATACTGGTATATCGTTGACAGGCGATTCGTAATTTAAGGAGAGGGTAACAAACTTTCTTGTCGTAGCATAATAAAAGCTTTCCAATGTTTTTTTTTTGTTGTCTCAGACCAATCGTCGATTTCATTATTTAATTGTTCTCTCTATCTCTTTACTAATTCAATCGACTCTCTACTTTGTCCGTTTTCCACCTCTTTGACTAAACATAATGCATTTTCCCCTCTTGCGGTAACTTTATCTGTATTTTTCATTAAAATGTACAAGGCGTACATATGCAATACAATGGGTCTACATTAATATTTTACAAAATATAAGCTCTTCAGTAGACTCCTCCATATTTTTCCATTACTCTGTTGTTTTATCATTCCCATCCCCTCAAATCAATGTTAATATTTGTCATTCTACGATATTGGAAATAAACTTACTATAGAAGGTTTTCGTTTTTTTCACATTAAAATTCGAGGTTTCGGTTCGTTTTCAGAGCGAGTACCTAGTTTTCAAAAGTATAGTTTGAGCACTTTAATCAATGGTTAATCAAAGTAATATTTGTCATAAACTTGAAAAGAGTATTCTACGATATTAGAAATAAACTTACTAGGAGGTTTTCGTTTTTATTTACATTAATATTTGAGGTTTCGTTCCTTATTCTAGTTTTTGAAATTACTTCCATACTATAATTTGAGCACTTCGATGTCGGTTGCGTGATGGACTATTGTTAAGAAACGGCGATGAAACCATTTGAGAAAAAAAAACTGTCCTCGCATAGTAGGCATCAGGGTCCTGTTTCATTGTTATCAATAACAGGTTGCAATAATCTACGACGTCTCAGAGCGCTTTACAAATATACTATTACCCCGGTCATTGGATTCACTTCTTGCCCGCACACACTGTGTGCACAATCACCACTCCCCGGGGAGTTTAAATACTGAAATCGTGGCATTTGATTGGTTGTGAGCAAATTTGTTAGAGAAATGTGACGGTTGTTATTAATAATATAGATATATTGACTGCTATGAGAGGCATGCATCGCTGTTTCTATAGGCTCAAGGAAACTTTACATCCTGATATGAACCCCTATGAACCCGAGGCGCGCCGGGGCGTCCCCGAGAGCCAATATAGAAACAGCTATGCGTCGAATATTAAAGCAGTTGATATATCTTTTATATACCGAATTCACAAACAAATCTACAAAGAATTCTTACCTTATCCCTTTCTTGAGTAAAGACTGTTTAACACATCACAGAAAATCTGAGACACTGTCTGTAAAGCTTCGCTGGAAAGTTCGCTGGGAATCGCACACACACTGCACTGTATTTTGTATCCGCGCTCGCACAAAGACATTTTTTACACGTTAACCAAGGGGAATCTCAGCAAAATGTATTTATGCGGCCCGTTACCAGGGGCAACGGGCATCTTTAAACAAAACTATTGCCCGGTAAGCGGGCATGCGGGAATCTTTTAAAAGACTATTGACCGGGAGGCGGGCATGGCTAAAATCGCTTTCTCTCTCTCTCTCTCTCTCTATTTCTCCCTCTCTCACTCTATTCTGTACACCTCCTTATCTTCCTTTGTGTACCCCTCATTTTGTCCCCGTTCGTTGTCCAAACCAAGCCGACCATTTTCTTCTTAGAAACCCGGAAAATAATATCACCATCATCACAGTCAATATAACAATCGCTATCTGTATAATCTTAATTAACATCGTGTCCAATGTGTCGCATCTCTTCCATTTTGGATTCCATGGCAACCTCTGGATGTTGACAGAGATGTTGGTATAGAGGGGATGAAGCTCTATCGTCGGAGGTTCGTACTTCAAGTTTGATAAGCCGTCCGTCGACATTCTCTCGGCGCACTGCTTTTGGAGACAAAATCTGTGGTAAGGAATAAAAGAATGTTGGTCATTCTACACGTTATTATCCCCCATTGAACACGAGGCGTTGTATATGCCTGCTGCATGCTGAGCGTTTTGTTTTATTGGTAAGATCTCCATGGTAACACTTGCTTCAATCAAACCTGCAAGGTAACTAGCTATTACACTAATACAGGGGCGGCGGATCGACTTCCAAAGTGTGTGTGTGTGTGTGTGTGGGGGGGGAGGGGGAACCAACCAAAAAGGGCACTTTCTGGAAAAAATGGCACCTTGAAAGGGAAATACCAAAGCGAAAATAAATATTTTTTTGAAATTGGTATAAATTATATATATGTGGTTAGATTATAAATGATGATTTAATAATTGATTCTTTGTATACATCTTACAAGATATTGCTTAAGCATCATACTTTGCATTTTGGTGTGAATACTCTGAATAGTCTGAATATTCATTTGCGAGCGAGCAAAGGTATTTTCTAAGATTTGCGAGGTCGCATTGCGAAAAAATACATCTTATAAAGAGGAACCCAATCATGATGGGGCCATAAGCATATTCTCATAACGGAAGACTGAAAAGACCTTTGAAAAGTAACATACCGGTAATCATATCATCTTTCGTCTATGGCTGATCGTCAATTATGTTTGTTGTTACGGCGGGCAGTCAGTGAAAACGAATTCGTTCAATAAAATTATGGAAATACAAGCATTACATAAAACAACAGAACTTTGTTATTCCTATCTCTTTTTTCCTGATTGAGGTGTCATATGAAAGGGCAGAAAATGAACTTTCTGAAAATGTAATTTGCTCTTTGAAATTCAGATACCGTCCACTAAATGACTTTTTGATACCCTTTTTCAAATTGATTTTAATCACTCATGCGTGAAACATATAAGAAATCAAAATGAAAGAAGAGGATCTAAGCTTTACAAATATGTATCATTTATTAATTATAATTGTGATTAAGTTATGATAAAACATCGATAATTCACGGTTCCGTTTTTTCTGGGACGCATAACGATCGAGGTAAAATTACTTTGCAATGTTTAGTCGACTCGAGTCCTTGCTGTTGTGTTCTATTGTATCGAAGTATCCGATCTCTCCTTCGGGTCGCGATGGTTTAAATCCGTTGGCAACCACCCTGTTGTAGAAATCGTCATCCTCACCACCCCATCCCCAGTAAACGTTTGGGAAGCCGTTGATCTCCACAAACTGCGACGTTGTCACACCAACCGCGCCGCCAAAGAGTTCTTGGTATGGGAGCCTGAACGAGCAAATAAAATAAGGACAAATGAGAGAGCATGAATGAACCAGAGAGGTTATAAGCCTCGTTCTAAAAATATGCAGTTAAAAGTTTCGAGAAAGGAATAAAACGGCTTCGTTTTTTTTAAACGTCTTATTTTTATTGTGAGCATTCTTGTTATTATTATTATTATTATTCTCATTATTATCATAATTCTTGGTTAGTATTCTTGCTTAGTATTCTCATTATTATCATAAGCATAGTTTTTTAAATGTCATGATTATTATCATCATTCATTTTATTCCAATTCTTATTATTGCTATCAATATTTTATGATTTTTATCAGACCAACATGCCATTTATCAATACGGTCCTCCACAGCGTAATTTTGTTGTTAACAAGTCACACTCATTTCCAAGACTAAAATGTAGGACAAGTTTCAGTTTCTTTATTTTGTACTTTCGCACAAAATATCACCCTAATCAATTTAATGACAGACATTATTATGTGACTGACTTATGCATGTTTATATATATGATATATAAATACATATTTCGTAGTCTCTACTTTTTTCAGCGATTCTTTTCTTTTTTCTCCCACTCCGGGGAACTTTTAACTACAATCGAGGAGATGATGATGATGATAGCCATTTTATGAATGAACCTGCAGTCAATCAGCAGATGTACGAGATTTATTGTGTTATTACCAACGCTCCTTCTCTCCCCTTTCCTTTTCTTCTCTGCAAGTCAGTCTTTTCTATTTGTATTTGTTATTGTTGTTGTATCTAAGTTGAGGGCTGCGGGCACGTCAAGCTACTTTGCTTATTTCTGTAGCCCTCCTGCATCTAATGTATGTTAATTATGCATTCAATATGTTTGTTTAAATTCGTTCATTATCTGTATAAAATTATATACACTTAAAATATTGTATCAAACCATATTATGTTCATGAAAATGTATGATGAAAAAAGAAAAAGAAAGATGCAGAAACCAATAAATCAAATCAAATCAAATGGTGATGACGATGATGATAGTAATTATGATAAAAACAACAAGCAATACTAATTCATCAACATTCATGATGATGATAATATATATAATAATGATAATGACATTAATATCTATAATAATAATGATTATACTAACAATAATATCGACTATAATAATAATCATTATAACAATCATGCGGAGCGTAATAATAATAAATACTGTAGTTGTGTATCGATCATTGCAGTGAATACCCTGGTCATAACTTCATGAACTGAAAAAAAGGAAACCAAAGTAGATAACTCAATAATTCAAAGGTATTCTAGTCTTGATGGAAAGCCTTTTCCCCCCTTCTTTCATATGCCATCACAAACGACATCAATAAGTCCTGCATTACCGATTTTACAGATCCCGAAGTGTCATGTCAAAACCTCGATTTCCTTTTTTTCAGGGACACCCTGTATATAAACTGTCATATCTTTCATTCATGCGAGTTCACAATTCATAATAACTTTTCATAAACTTTTCTTAATTCAAATGTAACTTACTTCCAATTCCACTTCGGTTCACCGGACTCAAAATGTTTTGGCATATTTTCACATCCATAGTAGTTTCTGACATTCATAGCGAGGTGATCGACGTCGTGGAAAACCACACAGTCGAAATCATTGAACTCCATTGCCTCGATGAAACCGATGTTCATTACCATGGCTTTGTTGAAAAGTAAGTTATTTCTCTGTCGGCATTTGGATGTTAGGTGAAACATAGACGTTAGGCGATGCACAGTGTTTGGAGTTTCGATAAAGAAGCTAACACAATATTCATTTTACAGATCAAGTTACTGAGTTTTAATTACAATCATTGTTATTATCATTATCAATATCACTATTATTATTATTATAATCATCATTATTACTGTTTATATTATTATTACTGTTATTATTATGATGATTATTGTTATAATTTACAACATCATAATAATAATGATTATTATTATTGTCATTATTCTTGTTATTAATATTATCATTATTATATGTATTATTATCAGTAGTATAGAATCTAGTAGTATGAATTAGATAAAGTGATGATTAGATCAAGTGGATATTAGAAAAAAAGGTGGGCTAATTGGACGAAATGTGTTTGATTCTGGATCCTCTTTCATACCACGCGTTATCAATGACAAGTTACAATAACTGTAATTAGCTACTGAAATCCTGTCGTTAATTGGCAGAGAGCAAAGTTGTTATAGAGTTTTGAACGTGTTATTGATGAGACGTTTCGTGCAAGAGGTATCTGGTCATTCGAGCAATACATTGTGAAGGAAAGTTTCCGGAAGCAATAGGGAAAGAGATGAGTTTTTGGAATAATCGAAATGAAAGAAACTGACTCAATTGTGTTGAAGATCACATGCATCGGACACAGATATTGGAATATGGGACTTCAAACTAAAGTGGCAAATGGACGAATCTGTTTTAGCTATTTCCTGTCATAATTTTGGACATGGGCGCACATATTTTGAAAAGTAATCATTTTTCAGGGGAATTTTTTTCCATGATATTTTTCCAAATAAGTTGACATTTACAAAGAATCAGAAGAATCTAAAAATACATTTTTTCATCTTAACCGGATCTCAACATTCCATTTGAAACACAGATGTGGATTAGTTATGGTTGTAACATATATATGTTTACGGAAACAAGATTACCCGTTGTCAGTAATTAATCTCCATATAAACGTGAGAACAAGGAAGCATGGTTTAGTTTAAAGGCTAGAATATCAAGGGATGAATATAAGTGTCTAATTGCACACCGGATTTGATGTAGCAATTTCTTAAAGGGCAAGTCCACTCCAAAAATTAACTTAAACAAACCTATCAAAAAAGTTTGAGTAAAATCGGATAACTAATAAGAAAGTTATGTGACGTCATTGCCTCACTACCCATTGTTTCTTTATATTGATGATATAAATTTCCCATTTCCCCCCTAAAAATGTTAATATTTCCTCACACAAGCATCCAAGTTATTATGACAGTAATATGTTTGTATGTGGATGCATTAATATAACTAGTAATTTTTTTTAGTTAAACATGATCACTAAAAATGTGAATCTATATGAACTTTTTTTAATCAAAATCAATGATTATGAATATACAATATTCAGAAAATAGTATCACTTTTCAAAGTTCATAGAGGATTTTGTGAAATGTCATGCACGCAATATGATACAAATGATATAACCTGGGCAAAGGCATGGGCAAATCAAATTTTGGGAGATGAAAAGGGATATTAATGGGATAAAAATATATAAAGCAATTGATAAACAGTGAGGCAATGACGTCAAAAACTGATAACCAAATTGGAAATTTGTGTAGTGATTTCCATGCTTCCATTGTTTTTCATACTTTTTCAAAAATTCTTAACTTCCTTATAAATAATCCGATTTTACTCCATTTTCTTTGCTCTGTTTTTTCTTGTTTTTCTGCATCTATTAAAAGAAGATTATCTTTGGAGTGGACTTAGTCTTTGAAACTTTGTATACGAATCTTTTGGTCACTGTTTATACCAATAACGATTGATCTACCAACCTTTTTTTAAAGGGGGAGAGAGGTAAAGGAGCAATTTCTTTTTCCTGGCAGATTTCCGACAAAGGAAGGAGAAGGGAAAAAACGGCTTTATTTTTGTTCACGAATAGATAGCAGATTAGGGAGTTATTTGCGAGTCAACGATTGCCTTTGTAAATACATAGAGTATAAAGCATGCTCGAGAGATTTTCCTTCCAGAATTAGTGATCCCTTCCTCCCCTTCAACGCCAAACTGGGCCCTCATAAAGGGATTTCTTTACTAGAAAACGTAGAGCCTAATTATTAAGGTAAAATGTTTTGCGCCCCCTGAGGCGAAGGTGTGGATATGCCACTGGATTGATCACCGGGATTGATCAATATAGGCCTATAGATCGAATACAGCTTCGGCTGCTGTGAGATTTATCGGGAGGCACTCGTTTTTCCGAAGGTTTGTTTTACCAAAGGTAAATAATTCCTTCAGTTCGTAATTCTGAAACAAAATTTCCAAAACCACGGATTTAATGATTCCGAAAATTAAATAGGGTTCGCGTTAACGTTTGCAATTCCGAGAAAAACACAATATTTGGTTTAACTAATTTTTGGAATTAAGAATCTTCGGAATTATGAACCTTCGGAATAACAAGCGTTCGGAATGGTGAAATTTCGGAAAACAATGACAGGTCACGGAAATAACATACCTGCTCTGATATGAAGATGGAAAATTCCAGCTTTTGTCTTTTCAGAAGAGGCACAATATGCCGGAGAAAGATTGGTAGATGTTGAAATCGATTTCTAAACCCCACTACAATCGCTACCTAAAAGGTGAAGGAAAACATAATAAAAATGACAAAGTTCACTGTTGCCCAAGAAGTTGGAATTTCTTTTTCTTATCTCTTTTCATGAAATGGTTGTGACAACATATTATTGAGAAATAAAGTTTACATCTTCTCGGAACTTTATTGATCAATCATCATGACTCTTTCAACTGATCGATAACATTTCAGAAGATATGAACTGAATCTACTAAGAATAAAGCACAATGTCACAATCATGAATTTTATGAAAAGAGGTAAGAAAAGCTTATTCCAACTTCATGAGCAACTACACACATGCACGTTCAACCCACACCCATACAGATACGCCTACAATACGCATCAGGGATATTGTTAACATATTAAAAATGAAGTCCTGTCTGCAAAGTCTTATACAAGTTAGCATGACATATCGTTCTCGTAGCTGATTGCAAATCACTAATAAATTGAATCCACGCGTTGGAAGATGTATACATTAAAAAAAGAATTCTTTCAAGTTTCAAGCTAATTTCCAACTGTTTAATAAAACAAGTATACACAATTTTTAGGAGGAGCCCTTCCTTCTTTCTCTAGAGGGAACACGTGGAAACTGCACTTGAGGTGATTTATTGGAAGTCCTTGCGATAGTGGTTGATTGAAGAAGACATTTTCGTTCATAAAGCGATACTAAACTGATGTACTTTCTGTCCTCGAGTACTATTTATTGCCCATCGCCATCTTTTTGATTAATTTGCCATCAGTGCATAACCCAGGGGTTTTTACGGTAGTGCTTGAGGGGTGTGTTGCACAAAGATCCCAAGTTGAACTTAACTCTAAGTCGGACCTGAACATTATGGAGAGCCATTTGTAGCCTTACAATGAAATATATTCAAAAGCAAAAATTCAAGTATTTTGGACTTTTCATAAATCCACATCAAGAACATGAATTCTCCTTGATAATAGAAAATATGAATGATTTGAATCACCATTTCATGCCTTTTAAATAATTTTTACAAAATATTTTTAAAGATGCTAACGGCTTTCCATAATTGTTAAGTCCAACTTAGAGATAAGTTCAATTTAGGATCTTTGAGAAACAACCCCCCCCCCCCAGGTATAGATACTTACCTTCCATAAAGGTCGACAAGACAAAGGAATCCAATGACCACCGGGAAGAACCCGGTAATCATCCACGTCGACAGCGAGATTCATCTTGGAGATCGTCTGGTCGATGGAGCTAGCTGCTTTCTGGATCGACCTCCGCTTCATCAGGATGCTTGGAAGGGATTTATTGGCAGTTCCAGCTGCATGTCTGACCTTCCGGACCATGGAACCAAATATCTCGGCGTTCACACGGGCGAGGGTAGTTTTATTCTTTCGTGGATCTATCCTAACTTCTGATAAGTGAATAGCAAGTGAAAGGTAGTGATTAATAGAATAGAGGCGAGGGATTGGAGAAAGATACATAGAGCGAAGCATAAAGGGAGAGAGAAGACTGACAGAGAAAGAGGGGGAAACAGATATAGGCAGAGAGAGAGAGAGAGAGAGAGAGATAATTTAAGTTTTACCTTTAATGGGGGGGGGGGGGGTGGGGTGCGGAACTCGAGGGCTTACGTTTTTCTCTTGATTTTAATCGTCACACTTCAACTTTCAGAACTATGTCTGCGAGTGAACCCAAATGTTGACACTTTCTCATGACTGTAGTAAATAAAACATTTCGCCGCAAAATGTACACACCGTTGCCTATAAAGTGGGAACAAAAATTTTCTCCCTGTTTCATGACATGATTGGGACAATATATTTTGTTATGTATAGATAAATTGATATCTACTCAGAACTTTAATAAATATATCTTTATGACTCTTAAAGACCATCTGCACTAGTTTAGCCAGGGAGGGGGATTAGACCTCCCTGCAAGGTCACTGACAGGTGGTTATCTCATCAAATCAGCTCTCAATTAACATAAGAAAAAGGGGGACCATGGGGGACCAATGGTTACCGATTAGGCATTGTTTGATGTATAGAGGGCGCAAGTAGCTACAAGTAGTGCAGTGGGGATTAAAGATTGATCAATGAAGTTCTGAGAGGAAAGTACACTTTTAGAAATGAGTTTAGACAATTTTATTTTATTTTTTACAAAAAAGAAGAATCGAATAAAAAATAGACTCTGTTTCATTACACTTGTTTTCACTAACAAAAGCACAGCAACTTGTAAGCAGCAAATGAAATGCCGAGATTGCAGTAGCTTAAAGCTTATCTGCCATAGTTTACAGGAGGGATTAGAGCGCCCTGCAAGGTCACTGGACAGGTGGTTATCTCATCAACTCAGCTCTCAGTTAACATAAGAAAAAGAGGATCATGGGGGACCAATGGTCACCGATTATGCATTGTTTGTTATATAGAGGGCGCAAGTAGCTACAAGTAGTGCAGTGGGCCTTTAAAACAGTTATTGTTATTGTTTTATGAAACAGGGCCCAGTTTGAGGGTAACTTACTTGGGATTTCAGAGGAGCTGAGACACGGCTTCAAAGCTTCTGTATGTTCTTTTATTTTGAGAGCGCCTGCATGTTCATTTGGAGATAAAGTAAGACACTGATTAGTATGAAGATTGACATTCTTGAAGTCATAATAACAGAGAGGTAATGAAGAGTCCTGGATAAGATGATGATTGTGATGATATTGATGATAGTGATGCTGATGATAATGATGGTGATGACGATGATGATAATGACGATGATGGTAATGAAACTGATAGTTGATGAGGATGATGACAATTACAATGAAAGTGATGATGATGATGAAATTGAAACTGATAGTGATTATGATAATACTGATACTGATAATGAAGATGATAACGATGATGATGATGATGGTGATGGTGATGATGATTATGATACTGATTATGATGATACTGATACTAAGACCCCGTTCTCACTCACTTCGTTGGAGCGCTCTGGAGCGCTCTAACTAAGACCCGCTCCTCAGGAACGGTTCTTAGGTGAGTGAGAACGCTCAAAGTGGTCCAGGAAGCGGACTTCTGGACCGCTCCAGAAGTCCACCTTCCGAGGTGGTCTTGAGGAGCGGGTCTTATTAAGAGCGCTCCAGAGCGCTCTAACGTGCAATGTGAACGAAAAGCGTACTTTGAACGGAAGTGAGCTAGTGACCTTCGGTGCGAAACGTGTAGTACGGTACATACGGTTTGTATTCCGCGCGCGAAAAAATTGACCCGCCTACCTGAGCTGCCATAGCAACAAGACCACTTTGACTCGTGGAGCGGTTTGAGCCATAAAAAACTGCTCGGAGTGTGATCGCTCGCAAACCGTTCCTCAAGACCCGTTCCTCTGGAGCGGTCTGGAGCGGTCTAACTAAGACCACTTTCAAAGTGAGTGAGAACGGGGTCTAATACTAAAAGATGACAATGATGATGATAATGATGATGAAAATGACACTGATAGTGATTATGATGATTCTGATACTGATACTACTGAAGATGATAACGATGATGATAATGATGCTGACGCCGATGAAGAACAGCATGACTGTTTAATATCTCTTTCACACATTCTTAGATGCAGACTCCTCTAGTTAATTCAGTGTGCTGAAGAGGTATGAAGGAACTCACCTATACTCTTACGATTTCTTGTCCAATTGAGTGACGTCATAATAGGATGTAATGCCCTTAGAATCGCTGTATTCTCTCCACTGGTAGACGATGCTAAAAGAAAAAGAAAATTTGCTTTGTTACAAAAACGCCAGAACAAACACCACACCTGTACATTATGACGCGGTAAAACTGCTGCGTTTTTTCTTCTTCTGGGGACGTAAAGCAACACAGAGCTCATTGAATACGCGCAAGTCCTTTTAAAATGATATCAAGAATACTTTCAGTAATTCATTGATTCAGATATCAATTTACTGGTGCTAGTAAATTTCTTTTTCAATTGCTTCCATTGATTTCGACATAAATTATCGTTTTAATTAATACTATCGTTTTGTTTATAATTATTATTATTATCATCATCAATATTGTTATTATCATTATCATTATAACTTTTCTCACTATTGTCGATAGTGTTATTTTGTATTGATTAACATTAATTCTATTTGTATTGTATATTTTACAGTGTTAAATTGACAAATTCAAACTGATTGTAAACTTCTCCAATACCCCAATGTCGGTGACATGAGAATGAATTGTCATTGTCTTTGCTGCGCGCACTTGTCTCGTTAATGAAAAACTGCGGCAGCTTTTACTTGCAATGGTTTACCGCGATATCTAAACAAGCTTTAAAGCTTATCTGTACTAGTTTACAGGAGGGATTATACCGCCCTGCAAGGTCACTGGACAGGTGGTTATCTCATCAACTCAGCTCTCAGTTAACATAAGAAAAAGAGGATCATGGGGGACCAATGGTCACCGATTATGCATTGTTTGTTATATAGAGGGCGCAAGTAGCTACAAGTAGTGCAGTGGGCCTTTAATAACAACTAATTTATGCATACCCTTGCCACGTTTTGTAATTTTTAAGTATATTCAAATTGATTTGTCACGATTTCCATTTCTGAAGAATGACATATTAAAGGTAATACAACGTTTTGGGAAATTTTGAAAATTGGGTGGATAGTGATTCTTTACAATTTTGATATATTTGGATGCCCCTTTGGATGTATTATAATCACTAGAAACTTTAGACCCTAAAACACTTCTGCTTTCGAGAAAAATTGGATATACACATTTACCGGTGCTCCCGGTAAATTTTGATAAATTTCAAATAGCCACCTAAGGCCGTACAATGGTAGCTGTGACCATGAAAATGTCAGAATATGTAGTTGTGATATATAATTTCCAAACGGGATCGACTAATCGGTCGATTTTAGTCAAGATACATTGTTTCATAGCTTAGTTAATATATTGACCTTGAGAGGGAGCTATACAACATAAAGAGTTCATTATTGACAATTTCATAACTTTAGGCTAGATTTCAACCGCGACAACGATCACTGAATATTGTAGGATCGCATACGCTTCCAATATGTTAATTTGAACCAAATGCATGACCCCATACCAAAACTTTGTATTACCTTTAAAGCTTACATCTAAAAAGCGTTCAACAAAAACCCTTGTACAACCAGTCCACCTATTTTTTTAGTAAGTGAAAAGACAAAATCATCCAATTCATAAGAGGTATGAATAATTACGTTGTTAACGGTATGTGGGTTCGTTCGTTCATGAAAAATGGGAATTTGTGAACATCATACTGTATTACAAAAAAAGGGAATGTGCTTGACAAGTACAGCACGTATCTTGCAATTTTTGTGCTTGGTCAATTAAAGCCTATCTGCACTAGTCTGGCCAGGTGGGATTCAGGCGCGATTCCAGGATTTCTTAGGGGGGGGGGGGGGCCTAAATTTGAAATCAATTTGAAATTTAGTGTGCTGAAATTTGAAAAAATCGCACCCCCTCCCCTTGAGCTCCAGGGGGAGGGGGATCTAAAAAAAAAAGGAAAATTAACGTGTTTTTACACGTGCCTGGATCCGCCACTGGTGGGATTAGACCTCCCTGCATGCTCACTGGCAGGTGTTTATCTCATCAAATCAGCTCTCAATTAACATAAGAAATGGGTACGGTTAGGCATTGTTGGCTATAATTATAGAGGGCTCAAGTAGCTACAAGTAGTGAAGTCCCGCTTTAAAGTATCTATATAAATTCATTATTTTTGCTTCCTTATAATCGGATTTGCCCCAAAACATTCACTTATACGCTTGTCTCATTTTTCTGGTGGAAAATTACTTATTATCAGGGTGAACTGTCTCTAGTATAAACGACGTTTGACATAGGCTGCTAACAAGATTATAGGCCATTTATTCAAGTTCTTGAATTATTCTTTGCAATATATCTCATAAGAAATCTTCCCCTTTGTCAACTAACAAAAGACAAGAGAAAACTATATATAAATATATGTAATATATACATATATGTTTGAGTGTGTGTGTGCGTGTGTGTGAGAATAAGAGAGAGAGAGAGAGAGAGAGAGAGAGGGAAATGATTTTCCTTCGAATTTTCGTTGTTCCTTCTTGCTGCCTTCCTTTTGTGGAAATAACTGCAAAGGTTGAAAACCCCTCTACGCCGGGAATCGGTCACGGCCGGCCACTGACTGTTTATGCTAATTTCTTGTTAACCTTTTTCGAACTTACGCTTCCTTTTAATTTTATTGTGGGATACATCATTTTTCTAATTTCCTCCTCATGTCTCTTGTTAAACACTTGAAAGACACACAGTTTCATACTCTATTGATGGTTATGAATAGTTACTTAACAATTTTATACAAAGACGTACTTTAGTTTTGAGAGGAGCTCACCGTTATAAGCCTTTCAGTTCCACATGTCACATACAAGAAGTCTTACCTTCAATATACTTCACGTATGTTTTATTGCCAATAATTAAACTACACTTTTGCGATTTTAAGATATATTTCCAGATGTAATATCCTCCATTTTGTTACATTGTTTGACTTTTGGATATATTGAAGCATGTAAAATAAATGAAATTCAAATTCAAATGCCCTAACTGCCCCAATATCATACATAGATGTATATGTATAAACCACGTGATAGCGCATCATTCTTTGCTACCTCGCAAATCCGAAACCGACTTCTTCAATTATTCTCTAAAATTCTTGAAAAATTGATCACTAAATACATATAATTGCCATAACTTTCTCATACCGATTCCGTATCGTCTCAATTTGTCAAAGGCATCTGCATCTCATAAATACACATAGCAATGCTAAATGTCATGCTCCAATGGCTCCAAATAAATAGCGCCCTCTAAAGTAAAGTGAATTTGTGTCGTTATGGCTGTAGCTCCATCGTGTCTGGCCACACCCGTAACCCGCGAATTAACATTAACTTGCTCTAAAATAGCGATCTTAATACATACGTCGATGAAACTGGCAGACATATGTTTCCAAATAACTGTCTGCCGAGTAAAGTATTAAGTTAAGTATAAAATGTCGTGACGGTACCATAAAGTTATCGCCTAAAATGGTGATTTATTACGTAACAGCCCGTTCAATGTGTGCCGTAAGTACATTGCAAGCAGATGAAAATGGGGTCAAACTGACTGCAATGAAGTGCCCTTTCGAATGATGCCAAATATGGTTTATTTAAATCGCATTTTGAACAACGGTCACTATACGAATCCCGCCGAGTTACCGACCGATAATAACACGGTATCGGCCATGACGTCATTTTTTCAGACTGCTTTTCGCCCCTATTCCGATCCTTTTTTTTGTGGAAATGTTGCAGCGACATTCTGACTTGAAGCCGGATATATTGCTAATTTTCTGCCGCAACTCACCGCAAAGCCATCGCATTTCAAGTTCAAATGTATTTGAAATTAAATGCATGCAATGCTAGAATAAACCACAAATTTTTCACAACATTTCTTTCCAACTGTAATAATGAAGCCAATATAATGAAAAATGTTAACCAAAAGTCAATTATGGGATGGGGGGGGGGGGGGGCACATCCCCTCTCAGAAAAATCTGGCAAATGGGAACAAAAAATTGACAAAATTGAAAAGGAAATCGGCCGGATAAGAAAACTGAACCCCGGGAAGTCCGTAGCTTGCCCCGGCTTTTACGCCTACGCCACTGGATGATGGGCAGCGCAGTACACTCAAGCCCATAACTAGGATTTCTTTTAAAGTTTATTTTCCCTTTTCTTTTTCCTTTTTATTTTTTCTCTTTTTTCCCTTCACTTTTTAGCCGCCAAGGGGGGGGGGGGGGCAGCGGCCGGCTATGCCTCCGCATGAATCCTTGCCTGTGTTAAAAGCTTAACTCAATCTTTTCAAAAATACTAATTTTTGTATGAATGGGTCTGTTCTGTCAAATTGTTATATTATAGATATATAACTCAACGCGTAAATATATAAATGACAGATGTATTTTCTAATTTAGATAGAAATATGCAAAGGGTAACCTCAAAGCGGAAGAGATATAATGTTAAACATTGGTATGTATCCCTACTATATTATCAGGGATGACTTAATAGATGTTCTCTTTACGTGGTCCAAGATACTGCTTTAACACCGTACTATGCAGTTGAGTGTGAAGGTCTGAAGCGAGCGAGCAAAGAAAATAAAATCAGATCAGATGAATTTAACAATCCTGATTGGGTTTGAAGCACAATCTCATGATGAAAGAATGAATAAGAAATGTAATCTGATATGTTACTTAATGATTAAAATTATAAATGCGAGAAATTTAAGAAAATAATTGCTCTCGTTCGCTTTAAATACAGGACACAGTTCATGGATGCAAAGATAACCTTTCGGGGATATGAGGGGTGATTACATTTTTTTTGGTCATAACACTTATGGTAATCATATTTCTTCTTAACATTGATATGAATGACATTTAGTAATGTAAATGTAGTAACCTTTAGGTTAGAAAACTCTAACCCGTCTTATTCTTCCACTCTGCCTTTCATGGTGGTGGTAGAAATTGGGAACATGTTACGACACAAAGCTGCTCCGATTCTTTGAAACTAGATGTGGCTCTTTAGATGACCTAAATTTGAAAATCGCGCCGACCAATATTTCGCTCAATAGGGAGGCTTTTTTTTTTTTTTTTTTTTTTTTTTTTTTTTTGTTGTTGTTGTTGGGGGGGGGGGGGGTGAACATTCTTTTCTTCTTCAAGACCCCCCCCCCTT